AAATGACCATGAAGGAAGGCATTGTTGACATCCATTTGGTATACAGGCCATCCAGAGACAACTGCCAATGCCAAGAACAATCTGACTGTTACTGTTTTAGCAACAGGTGAGAAGACCTCAAAGAAATCCTCTCCTTCAATTTGTTGTAGCCCTTTGCAACCAACCGGGCTTCATATCTCTCAACAGTACCATCTGAGTGACACTTGACCTTAAAAACCCATTTACAGCCTATAGCTTTCTTGCCAGCAGGTAAGGGTGTAAGATCCCATGTCTGGTTGTCTTCTAGTGCTTTCAGTTCTTGTTGCATGGCCAGTACCCACTTCTCATTAGTTCTGGCTTGATTGTTAGTCTGTGATTCCTGAATATCTGATAAGTTTGCCAAAAAAGAAGTGTGTGGAAGAAAAATGACATGTGGAAGAAGAAGGAGTCACTGAAGATATGGAAGTGTTAAGTTTAGATGGGGGCTGAATATAATCTGTAAGTCTGACAAAAGGTTTTCCGTTTCTAACACTCCTTCTTGGAGCATAAGGAACAAAAGATGGAGAAGAAGGAAGTTCAGGTTGTGTTTCACAATGAGTGGAAGGGTGATCTAATGAAAGATCATTAGGCAGATCAATATCTGTAGGTATGTGCAATGGTGAAGAACTGGAAGGAGAAGGATTAGGGAAAGAAGGAATAAATTCTGATGGAGAAATAACAACATGATCAGGATCTTCAACAGAATCTGTGATCACGTTTGGTAGTACTAAATCTGAATTTGTGACTGAAGAGCTCTTGTAAGGAAACAAATGCTCATGAAAAATGACATCTCTAGAAATGAATATCTTCCTGAGTTTAGGACTATAAATCTTATAGCCCTTTTGCCTGGTGGATAACCAACAAAAACCGCTTAAATAGATCTAGGATCAAATTTATCCTTATGAGGACTAGTATTAACAGCAAAGACTTGACAGCCAAAAGCTCTTAGAAGGCTTAGTGAAGGTGGTTTATTCTATAGTAACTCATAGGATGTTTTCCACCCAAGGACAGAAGAAGGTAGTTTGTTTATCAAGAAAGTGGCAGTCAATATAGCTTCCCCGTAACATTTTTGGCATTGAAGCCTGGAAGAGTAAAGACCTAGCCACCTGCAGCAGATGTTTATGTTTTCTTTCCACCACTCCATTTTGTTGTGGTGTATAAGGACATGATTTTTCGTGAATTATACCCAATTGGGAGAAGAGATTCTATGTTTCAAGGCTGAGAAACTCTGTGCCATTGTCAGATCTAAGGATTTGAACTTTCTGTTGAAATTGTGTTTGTATAATATTGAAGAAGTGACATAAGGTACTATAGACTTGTGTTTTATGTTTAAGAAGAAATGTCCAGGTGCTTCTACTGAAATCATCCACAACTGTAAGAAAGAATTGTGCATGAGTAAGAGAAGGTTTACTGTATGGCCCCCATAAATCTACATGGATCATTTCAAATATTCTACTAGTTTGAATTGTACTATTAGGAAACACATTTCTGTGTTGCTTTGACAAAGGAGACACTTCACAATCTGAAATATTATTGATTTTATCATCCAAGAAAGTCTCACATGGTTCTATATATCTCATCACTGTATCTGATGGATGTCCTAAACGATTATGCCATGTAACCACACTTACATTGGCACTAATATGTCCTTTTGTACTGTAATCATAAAAGTATGAATCAACTCTTCTAGAAATAGAAAATAGTAATTTTGAATACAAAGTCTGAGAATGTTGAATGGCTGTATCTGTGAAAGAATGAGAGGTGAGAATGTATAGTTCTTTGATGACTGTGCCTGCTCCAAGAACCTTGTCAGTCTTGAGGTCCTGCAACAAGCAGAAATCATCAAAGAACTTAAAATAGATTCCTGAGGTTTGTGCTAATTTTCTGACATAAAGAAGATTGTGCTTAAAGGTGGGAGCATGCAACACTGAAGTAAGAGTGATGTTGCTAGAAAGAGTTCCTTCTCCTATGTTTTCTACTGAATTGACAGTTCCATCAGGAATAAACGCAGGAGTATAAGAAGCTACTGATTTAAAAGTGGTAAAGGCTTGAATAGAGTAGCACATATGTCTTGTGGCTCCCATATCATTTATCCAAAAAAACACAACTTAAATCAATCACATTTGAACTTAAATGAGCAATGACTGAGCTACCTGCAAAATCATTGAAGTGTGTATAGTTGACTGACAGTCCTGATCCTGTTTCAAGTGCTGGCCTTCAAGAGCTTACCGACCTCTGTTTGTACCAAGCTTGATAAAATGTTCTGCCAATTGCCTTTCTCTTGACCATGCAATTGCAAACTTCCAGATGACTGTGGTGACCAATGATGCGCTGCTTCTGAACTCTGTGTCCAAAGAGCCTTCTGTGGCGCTTCCAACTCAAGAGGAGTATCCACCAAGTGTGTTGTATGAACTTTAGTATGATTGGGTCCCTTTTGTGTTCCCCACCAGTCAGGAAATCCGTTTAGCAGCAAATAATCTTCCTTTAAATGCTCATTCCTCTTGCAGTGATTACAGTATAGCTTCATCTTTTCTTTCTTAGACTGCGTTTTCATTTCCTTGAGGTTTGCTTCTGGTTTCTTGTTTTGTTGGACTTGCTGTATTGGAGCTATTTGTTTTGGTAAGAGACCAGCCTGATTCCCATATTGTTTTTTATCTTTGCCATCACTGCGGAGTTTTCCAACTTGATCATCATGCTTGTACTGACATTCTTCTGTGTTTCTTCTTTTAACACCATTGCAAATATAGTATCCACATCAGGCAGTGGATTCATCCTAAGAATCTCATTTCTGATGGACTCATAGCAATCATTAAGCCCCATAAGCAGTTGATATGCTTTATCCTCTACATCTCTATCATCAAAGTGTTTGTTTCCAGCACAAGTACATGAAATTGGAGATCGCCATTGATTATGTTCATCCCATAGTTTATTGATCTTGTTATAATATTCAATCATATTCAAGTCTCCTTGACTAATAAGAGCCAAATCTCGTCTAAGTTGATAGACTAAAGATCCATTGATCTTCCCATATCTGATAGCTATAATATCCCAAAGCTGTTTAGAATCTTCAATATACATGAAACTACTGACTTGTGAAGGTTCAATAGCATTCAATATCCAAGACCTTACCATCCTGTTTCCTCTAGACCAGCGAAGGAAAGCAATTGTATTTTCTGGTGGTTTCTTACAAGTTCCATCAATAAATCCTAACTTAGCTTTAGCATTGAGAGCAGTTATCATTGCCATTCTCCACATCAAGTAATTAGATGTTGTCAAAGGAGTGCTTACCAAAAACATTCCTGGATTATCAGATCCATGAATCTGCAACTGCTCTTCCATGAACAGCTCCATTTCCCGATCTTCATTCCTCTGTCTTGAGGTTCCTTGATCCATTTCTCCAATTCTTGCACGCCCAATTGCAGCTTCAAGCTCGTCTGCTCGAAGATCTTCACTGCGCATCTATCCAACTCGAATCGCTCCATTTTTCAAAATTCCAGTGAAGTTTTGCAGCGGAAGACAAGAAGTAGTGATTTCTCGGCTCAGATCAGGCAGGATTACTCCTGCTCTGATACCATGAGCGAGATTTGGCTCACAAATGTTCTTAGGGTTTAAGTGAATAGAATGAACAAATTTGGGAATTAAAAGAAACACGTTTAATATGTCTGAAAACATATGCCATTAAGTGTCCTGATTATGCATTTATACATGCTACGGCGGTTTGAGTTGAGTAACCGCCATAGTATAAATGACTAATCTATCCTTACTAATAGGCTAATAGCACTATATAAAAGAGGATCTATCAGTACAAACACATGTACAAGTTTGAATGTTTGAATCTGGAATTCCCGCTATTATCACTGGATGCACATCCATCGACACAAGATGAGCATCACCAGTCACAGAATGCACATTATGCTGCTGATCCTGCTTTGATTCTAGCTGATCATCAGACTGTAATTCTTTCACTCTCCAATCTGGTCGACTTGCGTCTTGGTTCACTTGAAACACCTGAGTTGGAAGATATGAACTGTTCGGAGTGTTCAAGTCTCCAAACTCTCTAGTCTGTATCTATTTACCGTCACTTGCAAAAGTTGCCCCGGTTGGTGTCCTCGCTGCAACAACTAACCTCGATAAACTTGTGTTGGAGCAAGCTAACGGAGGATCCACTTGAACCCCTTCAACACTTGTCGAATTTGCTGTCAATCTATATGTATGACTAAATAAAAAGTCACTTGAGAAGTAATTTATATGAAATTCTGTTTCTTTGCTGGGGAGAGTTTGATCATTGTGTTAGTTGCAAATTCAGAATGCATCAGGCCCAGACTTCATAGACACTTTTGTTTCGCCATCCTCCCTCTACTATGAAATTTGAAGATTTCACAAGTTACATTTGATTTCGTGGAAGAAACTGTGTTTTGGTTCTAGTAAGTCTTCATAAGTAGGCTAATTCAAAACCCTTTATTTATTTCTTTGATAATCCCTTTGGTCCTTAATATAAGTCATTTTGATTTTGTCTTAAGTTTCACCTAGTATGCACTTTTTATTTTTAATTAATGAAAAAACCTTAAAAGTATATTTTCACATTCATTGTTTTCTCATGATTGATAGAAAATAGTTTTAAGATTTTTTTGTCAATTAAAAATGCGTACTAAGTAAAACATAGAACAAATCAAAATACTTTATATAAAGAACCGGAGGGAGTATTAATTAACAGTATAAATTATATTTTCAGAGTTAGGCTAATTCAGACACACACATCAGAATATACACAGTACACTTGATTGTATTATCTACTGTTTTTCTCGGACAACAACAAAAATGCTCGACGAATACATTAATAGTTTGACATTTCTTACTTAGAAAGAGGAAGACAAGCAGTATCTAAAAAGTTAAAACAGCTCATCTATGTCTGGTTTTAGCTGTGACATCGACTAAAATGGAAATGAAATTGTACCATATGTGTATCAATGTGTAGCTAGTAGTTAGGCACCTGATGAATCAAACCTAGTACTGACCGTGTCAGTGGTCCATGAAGCATTACTATCAGTCCAAACAACTGATTCAGATTCTCCCTTTTTAACATTTTCTTCATTTACACGAAGATTTTCTTCAGCAATCCAACGAGCTGCAGACATTTTAATGCTTTCTAACTCAATTGCTACTTCTTTCATCGTCGGTCTCAACTTGCCGTTCAAGTTTAAGCATCTCTGAGCCAGTTTAGCAACGGCAACGACCTCGTCTTCGCTACCATCATCGAGAACTTGAGGATCCAGGAAACTATACAGCCTATCCTTATCAATGGCCACCAAAAACCGCGTCGCCAAGCTCAAATGACTATCTTCTTCGGACGCTGATGATATCGGCTTTTTCCTCGTCAACAGCTCAACAAGAACAACCCCAAAACTGTAGACATCGCTTTTCTCTGTGAACATGGACGATTGGAAGTATTCTGGATCCAGATACCCAAAAGTGCCTTTCACTTGAGTAGTCAAGTGAGTTCTATCGACTGCAACAGTTCTTGAGGTCCCAAAATCAGAAACTTTTGCAATGTACTTTTCATCCAGAAGTATATTGCTGGACTTGATATCCCTATGATAAATCGGCATTGAAATTGCAGAGTGTAGATAGGCAATTGCTCCAGCTACTTCAGTGGCTATCCTTAACCTCAAATTCCAAGTGAATGGAAAGTAGAGCTGATTAACATCACCATTATCATCATAATTCTGGCTATAATCATGAATCAGGCTGAAAAGGGTTCCATTAGGGATGAATTCGTAAACCAACAAAGGAACCTCTGTCTCCAAACAACAACCTAATAACTTCACCACATTCCTGTGATTGACTTGGGATAGAATGGCTACCTCATTGATGAACTCTTCCATTTGGCTTTCGTTTACCTTTTTCGACTTCTTGATGGCTACGATCCTTCCATCTGAAAGCATCCCTTTATAAACCGTGCCTTGACCACCTTGCCCGAGTATCATATTTGCATTGAATCCATCAGTTGCCTTCTCCAATTCACTGCTTTTGAAAATACGTGTGTTGTCGATACTCCCTTCATCGGAGGAGGACAACTGTTGTTGCAGCAGAAGTCCTCCATTTCTTTTAAAGTTTCTGTCTTTGATCATGTTGTCTCGTTTTCTTTTCACTAGCTTGTAAAGTGTAAAAATTGCAGCTACCACAAGTAAAGAGCCAATGCCTGTGGACACACCTGCACAACTCAAACATACACAATTACTAGTGTGACGATCACTAGCTAGTTTGATTTTTTTTTTATTTTAAATAAAATAAAAATCGTGTAGTAACTAAATCTGCAACTGTTTGGCAATAAGCCGTGCTAATTTAATTAATTTTGATTATATTTAGCAAAAATCGTTCCACAAACAAGTTTCTTATTTTCATAATATAGCTTATCATCACACGTAATAAAAGAGCTGTTGTTTGATATTCGTTCAAAAATATAACACTAAAGTAATGATGGTGATTAATAACCAGCTACTGAAAACAATATCAAGACTCCTTAAGAAGAATTTAAAGAAGTTGGAAGAGAGGAAAACAGTTTAATGAGTAAAATGATTGAGTAATAATTAAATTACATCAATAACCATTTACCAATTCATTCAAGGTGAAGTTAAACTTACCAACAAGGATTGCTCTCGAGTTATTATTCCCCGGCTCTATTATCGTTCCTTGAAATCACAACAAAGTATGCAAATGTCAAGAAAATATTCCACAATTTCTTTATTACTAACAAAAATAAAATAAAATTCTTTGCTAATTTACTTGGAAATTGCTTATAAAAAATATATATATTTGCAAATGAATATAACTTGTTTCCAAATAACCAAAAACGTACTGTTTCCGCATTGGGCCTGCAAATATGGATCCACCAATTCAGCGTTTGGCCCAAACATGCACGTCGGGCACGTGTAAGTTTCCACCCTTTGACCCGACTCGGTGTCTAAATACGTCATTTCGTAGGGACAAGGATAAACGGCTTGGACATCTCTCCTTCCAAGCGTCCAGGCCAAAACCACCGGAACTTTTTGGGGTGATAATTCCGGCGAACTCATCCCGTCGAATCCAGCCGGCGGCAGCCAGTTTTGGTCCACCAAGAACGCCGAAGAGCAATTCCGAGTGTTGAATCTCGAAATGGTGAAATCAATTTGGTAATCAGTGAGATAGAAAGGAATCGTCGCGTCACAGCAATCCACTCCGTAGCAGTCCGAAATCAGCCGGGATAAAACAGAACTTGTGAATTCGCAACTCGAAGTACAACCGGTGATAATATTTTGCCGGCTGGATCTTGTCATCAACGCCGCGTTGCCACAGCCGAAAACCATCATTCTGTTGTAGGTTTTGGAGTAGAAGAAAGGGGTTCCGGCGAGATTGGGGCTAGCCCAGCTTCCGACTACGCCGGTTTGGGGTCTGGGATTGCAGGAATAGTTAATTGGGACGCTCAATGTAACCGTCCGGTTACCGAGAGAAACTTTCAGGACCTCCAAGTTGGGCTCCGTCAGAAATGGCTTTGAAGAATTAATACAATCTACGTTGTAGGACTGATTGATTGCGCAGTTGGAACCAATCCCGAAAGGATAAGGGATTCGAACGTTGCCGCAGGTATCACTACATCCGGGTTTCGCTAACGGTTCTGCAGCCGGATTTCCATTTAGGAACGCTTGCAAAAATAGCAGGTAGAGAAAGTATTTTGATTTCATTGATTGAGAACTGCAATATCATGAAACCCTTACTTTCTTTGGCCTTCTTTTTTTCTCAGTTAACTTTGTCAATGTGTGGATTGTGTATGATTGCAGAACAGAGTTTATATTTTGGGTCAAATTGATAGGAAAAGTTTGCAATTGCAAATCAAAGCACGTATGTTGTGTACTAGCTGAAGGTTAGAATTTTCCACATACCAAATTGCATTACGGAATTGAAAAGTGGTACACTAAGACATTGACAACAGACTGAAATAGTCAAGTTTTTATCTTTCTGCAAGATTTTGGGTCAATTTGATATCGTCATTTCAGTCGAAACTGTCAACGGAGCTCAGAATTTCCATTTGGAAAAGTACCCCTTCCGACAAATTTGTAAACGACGACTCCAACTCTAGTGCCGGGCAAAGGAGGGTCAGTGTGAATAACTTGTACATCGAAAAGCTTCTTCGCCATCTTGAAGAAAGCTGATTCCTTTTTCCACCTCTTTAAATGAGCCATAACGAAGACTAGTTCCTTCCCTCCATTTCCCAACAAGAACCACTTTACAGTCTCAATCAAAGGCGCGTAAAGATGATCATGATACACCAAATCAGAGCCTAACATTAGATCATAATCTCGGCCGAGAGCTTCCATGTGCCCTGTTTCCCCCCAAGAAAGTGCTGCTGGGATGACTTCTCCACCGTTGATTTTAAGGATTTCGGAGTTAGCCTCAATGTTGAAACGGAGGTTGGGTATCACACGAGGTAGGTCGGTGACTGTGACATTAGCACCCAACACCGCAGCAGCAGCAATGCCAACAAGACCCGTCCCTGATCCGAGCTCCAAGATGCGAAGGGGACGATTGCCATCTTTAGTCTCAAACAACTTGGAAAGGGCACCATCGGTGGGGATCTCAGGATGACGGATGAGGTTATCGAGAAGGGTAACAAGAGTAGTTGCAGCAGGCCAGAGCTGGAAAGAGATGCCTTCAGATGGAACTTGTCTGATGACAAGATTGGAAGCAATTGAAGCCAAGTAATACTTGCTCTCCTCAACATTTTGCAATTGGTTTTCCTGGTCTACTGTTACAGCTGCTTCTTGAAGTTGAGGGGGGAGCATTGCGGACTTAAAGGGGTCGATTTCATCGTCGCTGTCATCATCATCGTCGGGTCGGAAGTTCATTTTTCAATGGTTGCAGCACCGAATTCTCGATAGAATGGTCTGGTAAGTTGTGATGATTATTTAAGAAGCCGCTATTTCTACCATGGTTAACGAACAGAGAACAGAAAACAGAAAATAGCTCAGTTCAATTCAAAGTATGCAAGTTACAGAATCAAGTTCCTCTTTTTCTTCTACAATCAATGATTCAGGTGTACTAAAACATTAATCCCGCTTTTCTTTTAGGCAAATCAGCAAATATATCTTTCTAGCCAAGGCGGGATCGTTGTAAATTAACAGAACATTCATGTCCATGTCACACAAAACATACATAATGCTCCAGCCCCTTAAATCTATGGTAAAAACGAAACAAATTGAAGACTTCTTCCCCAGAATTGCTTTATCATCTTTTCTTTTATTTTCTTTTCTTTTCAAACAAGAAATACTGTGCTTTCTCCTTCAATAATGAAAATCGCGCAAAGTTCAGGAGGATATGAAAGACAAGTATGAGAAAGGAAGCAAATATTTGGAGGAATAAAGTAAAGATCTTAGAACCCTTACAAAAGGGCTGCCTCCGAGAGCTGCTATCTCCGACCACCGTCCCGGAATCCCCACAGGAAACAGGTCCTACGACCGTTGACCAGGGCTTTGGCGGCGGCCAGATGAAGAGACAGGGCTGCGATTTCTCCGACGGAGGGCGTGGATGTTCCCGCTTCCCTGTACGGATTGGGTAGTTGGATTGTTGGATTTGGACCTGTATTTAAATGGGCTCTTGAGCTGGGGAAAGGCTATATCTAATGCTGATTAAAATATAAGAAAATAAATTGAATGGGCCTAACAGCCCATAACTCCGAAAAGAAATATCTGGATTTTTTTTGGGATGCTATTGAGCGTCTTAATTTTTTTTTGAGCACCTTGATTTAGCTGAAAAAGATCATTTTGCCCATAACTTGAATTTTTTTTAAAAAAAAAAAATGATGGCAGCCCTGGTGACAAAATTTTTTTACTCTTACAAAATTCGTCGCCGCCCCTTCAGCCCCGGCGACGGGTTTCTCGGGAGGGCGGTGGAAAAATGTCTCGCCTGGGGTTGGCCGCCGGGCGAGATTGTCCATGGCCGGCGCCGGTTATATTTAATTTTTTATTTTTATTTTTTTAGTATTTTAATTTCATTTCTTTTGTAATTTATTTATTTTAATTTAATTGTTATTTATTAATTGTAGAATTAATATTTATATTATTATTTATAATTAATAATTGTAAATATAGGAATTTTAGTTTAATTATTTATTATTAGTTTAATTTATTATTTTTTAGTTTAATCTTAGGAATTTGTTTTTATTAGTTTAATTTATTTAGAAAATATTTTATTAATATGTTTAATCTTAAGTAAATGATTTATTAATAATATTTTTATTTAAGAATTCATTAGTAGTTTTAGGAAGCTTTAATTTATTTAAATTAATTATGTTAATTAAGAATATTATTATAATTAATTTAATTAATTTTTTTTTTGCAGGATTGGTCGGTTTAAAATTAGCCTCAAATAATATGTGATATGTATAAATTAAATATTTAGTATAGGAAAATTAAATAAATAAGGATTATGTAAATACAAAAAAATAGGTTGGATTATTTTTTGGTTAAAATTAAATAATAAAATATGTATGTAATTACGTAAGGATTATGTTTAATATAAATAAATTATGTATATTTAATGTAGATAGTTAATTAATTAAAGTATAATTGGAATTTATTATTTGTATTTAGTATATCTAATAAATTAAACATTTAAGATGTATAATAGATAATTTTATATAATTAGTTATTTAAATAATATAACAATGTATTAAAGTAATTAACCTAAATTAAAGTAACATGTGAACCCTGTGCCAAACCGTATTAAAAGAAGCATTGGGTGTACCGAGCCATTACTTTAACAACTTGTGGACGCTCTCCACTCTACAAGTAGTGGCGTTGCCAATATGAAAATAAGTGTTGGTCCATGACTGCACAAAATTTTCCGCCACCACTAACCATCTCTTCCTGACATACTCTAGAAAGTGTTGAAATTAGGACCAATTATGCACCAGAAGTTGTACTTTTTCATCATACTCTTCCTTTTTAGCTTCGATCACTATTTTAAATGTGAACCGCATTAGTCCCAGCAGAGTACTCCTTGATAAGCTCTCTCACTATTGCGCTTAGTCCGCTCCTAACCCAATGCGGATCTTTCAGTGAATGGTTGTGCATTCCACACGAACCAATATATACACGGATTGCCCACCTACCAATATGTTCTGTAAACAGTAATCGTAAACTGGCATCCAGTCATCTGTGTCTACGTATTGGGTCGGATGCACATGTTTCCATCCACCTGTTTACCTTGGTACCGGCCTCCTTTTTGACAAAGGAATATAACACCACTATCCTTGTGTGAAGATATACTTAAGTCCATGTTGTACATATATATTTGCAATACTCTTTGCATATTCAATAGCATCAACCTTTTTGGCAAAAGTATCTTCTGTAGCAAAATACGAACTATAATCAACGCCATCCCCCTGATCAAACCAATCCTTCACACATTAAAAATGAAATATATCATAACTTAAATTAATCATAATAATATTAAACCACAAATAGTTTATAATAATGTTATAGTACCGCTACATAATTAACATAATTTAAACACATAATTAATCAGAAATTCACCTATTTAATATAACAACTAAAACTTATGAACATAATACGTAATTAAAAAATATTTTCTAAATATTTAAGTTAAACATTATTTATTTACGAATACCATAAATCCTAACTATTAACATAAATTTTCTAAACAAATATTAAACTTCAAAAAAAATGCTAAAATAAATTAAATAAATACATGAATTAAATAAATTAAAAAATTAGTTAAACTAATAAATTAAAATGGTGTTTTTACGTCTTTCTTAGGGTGCTATGAAGTAAAGTTAGGGCGCTCAGTAGTAACACCCTTCTTTTTAGTTTTGTGTATTTCAAAGCAAAGAAAATACCAATAAGCACTTGTAAAGGTATTGGGTCAGTTTAACTATGACTCAGGTTCGAACCCGAGAATGCAGCAGTGATTAAAATAATTATTGGGAGAGCTTTACCTCCCGAAATGGACCTATCCGAATCGAATTCGGATTAGTCGGAACAATAATTTCGAATACCGAGTGCGTAATGTACCAAAAGCAAAGGAAATGCACTAATGCCAATGGGTTAACAAAATCGGCAATTATACATTAAGCACATTACTAATTCATTTTTAGGGTTCTTCTTGAAATAGAGATGATTCAAAGGAACTACGAAATAGTGTGACAGAGTAAACTATTTTGTTTTAGAATATCAAATTACATATACAAATTTAAGAGTAAAAGATGAAGTAAAACTGTACAAATTTAGTATATACATTGCATATTTGAGCCTGTACAGAACATTAATACACATATATACAAGGATGCAATAGTTTTTCCATCTCGTAGTAGTCTTGTTTATTAAACTTACAAAGAGGGTTCATTGTCCACATCTTTTCCTTGGAAAACAGGCGCAAGTATATTTCGAGACCATGTTTCCATCTGTTTTTTTTGCTTGAGATCCAATCCTGAGGAGACAATCTTTACCTAAGGAGCCAACTGATGGGAGTAGATGCAGCAGCAATTAAGAAACAAATGCCCCATTGCCTGGAGTCTAGCCTTGCTGTACCTGCAAAGCTCTTCCAGAATTCCACCATGATTACTTGGAGGAATATAATGAATCCAATGATTCCCCAGAACCATTTCATACTGTGCATTTCCTGGAAAATGTTCTTCCGATCATACAGCTTCGCATTCATCAGCATGAAAACTTGGCAGAGCACATAAGTGTTGAAGATCAGGGTGGTCTTCTCATTGTAACTCAGATTCAGCAATGAGTTCCCTCCAAAGTGGATGGCCAAAAGGACTACAATTTGGTACAATGCCTGTGCAATGATGTTTCTGAGCATATTTTTAGTCATCAAAGGCTCATTTATGTCTCTTGGCGGCTCGGACATTAGGTCATCCGAGGGTTGTTTTATGAGCACAGAAAGAGTTGCAACTAAGCCTAATATGAACTTTACCCAGAGGAGTTGAAATACAGGTATTGCTAGTTTACCTGATGCAACACTTGCTTGTGCTGAAACTTCTACAACTGGATGATAAAAGCTGAAACCATTGGGAAATATTGTCATCGCAGAGTCTATCACTAGATCGACAGAAGTTGCAGTGAGCAAGAACTGAGTGTAGGTTTGGATACTGTCATAAAATCCTCGTCCCCATTTCAGGATTTCAAGAACAAGGAGGAATTTCTTGTCCTTGATTACAATATCCGAACATGCCTTCAGAATTTCAGCTCTGCCTTCACTTGCAGGACCAAAACATAGTCCTACATTTGCTTCTTTGATCGCCTGCGCGTCGCTTACGCTGCCCCCTACATATGCAACCACTCGTCCTTTCTCTTTTAAGGTTTGAACCAGGAGGGACTTGTCCGAAGGAGTAGCTCCTGCCAACACGCGAATCCGATCAACTTTCTCCAATCTCTCTTCAGTAGTGAACCTTCTGAATTGCTTTCCTTCTACTACATCTCCTGGTTGCTGTTGAAGTAAGCCACACCTAGAAGCCAAGGCCGCGGCTGTTAAAACGCTGTCTCCTGTGACCAACTTGAGGTTGATTCCAGCTCGTTGGCAATCTTTTACAACTGTTGCTATTTCATTTCTTACAAGATTGTCAAATCCAACTAACCCTATCAAGGTCAACTGTTGGCGAGCGGAGTTGAAGTTGAAGTGCTCTTCGATTGATGTTTTTCTATGTGCAAAAGCAATGCATCTGAGGCCTTTCTCTGCCATTCTTTTCGTTGTTAGTTTCACCATCTCCCTGGTGTTTCTGTCGAACATGATGGATTTTCCGCCAGTGCCATAGTAATGCGAACACCTCTGCAGGATCAAATCAGGTGCCCCTTTCCAATGCACATGAAATGTGTTGTCATTTTTTTTGCTGATCAGCACCCCACTGCATTTCTTGACCGGGTTGAAAGGCTCGATTTTAAGAACTGTGCAGCCCTCTCTGAGACTTTCTTTATCCATTTTCAGCTCGCGAGTCGCCCAATCAAAGATCGCCCGTTCTGTAGGACTCAGGGGAGTTGCGAATGTGGAACTTGAACGAGGCTGCGTTATGTTCAAGCCGATTGCTTGGTGAAGCAATTCGAGCACGCTTGGAGCAATCAAATCCGTTGGCGCTTCTTCAATGTCATTGAGACCAACCCAAAACTCTTTTACCTGTGATAAAAGAAAGTTCACTTTTGAATAATTACAACATTTGCGACTGACAAAATGAGTTACTCCTCTGTTTCAGAAAACAGCATAGTGAAATGATAAAACTAATTACCTCCAAGGAATCGATGGTAAGGGTTCCGATTTTGTTGAAGCATATAGTATCAACGGATGCGACTCGATGACAGAGGGAAGGCCTTTTGATTAGAACTTGCTGATGTAACAAGCTCCTCATAGAATAGGCAAGGGTGGACTTCACAGCCAAAACTAAGCCCTCCAAGCTGGAAGTTAATGCAATAACAGCAGAAGTCCCCATCATTCCAACTACAGCAATAAAGAACTCAACAAAATCCGCCTCTTTATCATCGCGATTAGTGGATTCCTGATCATTTGCCTGAGTACAGAATCGGACTAAAAAGCACACAAATGTTAACACCGCGAAAGCTTTACCGCACCTACCTATGATGTAGGCCAAATTTTCCAACTCGCGAACATGTCTTCGCGTCATCCAAGTCGCTTGTGATGGTGGCTGCTGCTGCTGCTGCGGATGTTGAGGCTGCCCGTTTTCCTCAGTTATACTCTTTTCCACCGCTGTTACAACTATCCTGGCGTAACCAGCAGTAACCATGTTACCTGCCAGCAGAAACGGATTTTCTTCGCCTACTTCCACACGCCGCGCACTATTAGTCCTCAGTGATTTAGCTTCTACACCAGAGCCCTTAGTAAGATGATCACTCGTTAAATCCTCGAGATGCAATGAGTGTCCATCTATGCAAAGGCCGTCAGCCGGAACTTGGTCACCGGGTTTCAAGTACACAATATCTCCAACCACAACTTCAGATACAGGGATTTTCACCCATACACCATTCCTCACAACATCCACCTGAGGGCTGTAGACTTGGTTTTTAGCCGCAGAGAAAACATAGTTTTGCTCAATAGGCCACAAATTAGTCACAGCTGAGAAAATCACCACGGAAACAATCGACAGGAGGTGTGTTTCCCTTTCAGGCCAAACACCAATCACCCCATGTTTCTTAATCCCAAAACATATACAAACTATGGTGTACATCAGAAGGATGACAATCAAGGGGTCGCGAATCGCTTTAACTGCACAGCGGTGAAAATCCTTCACCAGGTAGATTTTTGTGTAGGGATTGGAATCGTTGGAGCCGAATCGTTTCATTCGGTACTCAATATCATTGGGATCACCTGAGATTCCATTTTCTCTATCAGTGCGAAGGACTCTCATTACACCATCTACCCCTCCAAACTTTCTGATCAACTTCTTGCTTTCTGTTCTCACTATGTTCTTCACTTCATGATCATCTGCTTGTGAAGGTTCGGTCATCAGAGGAGCAGATTCCACTTCCTCTTCCACATCCACGTAGGTTGCATCTGGCAAGTGGTTTTCAGACATGGCTGGCTCTTAATTTTGATCACCATAAACGGAAATTAATTGGGAAAATATATGAAGAACTTGCTGAAACAGTTAACTGTGTACTATATAAACCAATAATGTACAGTTGAAAATATGTGTACAGATAGATGTTGTATGAAGAAAGTTAGGAAATTGAGAAGAAATTCAATCCCAATTTCCTCGAGTTTGTACAGAGTTCGTAAGGTTTACTTGTCTTTTAAGCCAATGATTGACATAACTGACAAATCATGCTTTTTGTTTCTGCCTCTAGCAAAATGGTAGATTTTTTTGGCGGCCAAAAGTTCATTTAATTATTTTGAGGTAAACATCAAATACGTAATTCCTGAATAGATAAAGGATTGCAAACCAAAAGTTCATTGATCAAAAACACCAGTGAAAAGGATTGCAAACCAATTAAACTAGATGATAACACAAGGAGTACAAATAAATAATCCGGTCAACACCTGTTAATTCATGACAAGTAACACAAGGAGTACAAATAAATAATCCGGTCAACACCTGTTAATTCATGACAAGTGAAAATACTTATTGGCTTGTTGTGGAAATTTTTTAGTGCATATCTTTTTATTTTTTTCTTTATTTTTTTGGAATGGAATGTAAAATCATGTATTGAAATTTTGGAAAAAAAAAAAAAGTGTAAAAATTTGTTTCAGAGGATATATATGGGTTAAAAACATTTCGAATTGACCCTCCACCACCATTTTGTCATAATTAAGCTTTGTATACAAATGCTCCATCGTCAAAGAAAACCGTGCATCTTAATCTTACTTCTTTTGGGACAATTTTGTTGTATTGATTTTTTCATTAATCAACGTACACAAGTTAAGAAATTGAGGACATGTTCCAAGAAAATCACTTGGTCATATTAAATTAGGCTTAGCGTAGTATACAACAAAAATAACGTTGCATGATTCCAACATATTCGATCCTCCCCTACGCGGTATATCGTTTACTTTTAGGTAAATAACCAATTTACTTCATAGTTCCAACATCAGCCTCTTTTTGTTTTTTGTGTGATGTGTTTTTAAAATGCAGTGGTATTGCATTATTATTAATCGTTTACGTCAAATCTAAATAGAAATTTAACCTATTGGCTAATTTAAACTACTACCATCCAAAGATTCTATTAGATGCCATTTCTTTCACGCTTCCTTCTCTCACAAAACATATTATTTCCAGCGGTCTTTTTCTTCCCTTTTCAGTTTTCTCTCTTTCTTTTTTTATTATTTTTCTAGTTTGAAATTCTTCACTTCGTCGATGGAAAAGAAAACAATATATATAAAACTTCCTCACGTAATTACATATGAATTGATCGTGAATTAATGTAGACGGTAACACAGGCAATATCCACCGTGTTACCAAATCATGTTGGAACCATAGAACTATGGAAAGCAGCCAATGCGATTGCAAGCCTCATTTCTACAAGTAGATCCTTGTTTGCTGCATAGAGAATGGGAACTTAAACTAAAACAAGAATTAAGAAGCTCAACTTTATACCGGATAAATTGTTGACATTTTCAGTATCGATGGTTATTAAAAAAAAATGTTCGAAATAAACTTAAATTACGATTAGACATGATTTAATTCGCGTTGCCTACTCATAATCATGATTTAATTATGATTAGACATGCAGGAATTAAACATTTTAAGCTTTGCCTGATGCCGTTTTAATTTTCAAGGCTCGACGATCCGCAATTCTTTGATCGATCATGATGTGAAATATAAGATACTGTATATAAGTTTGATCATTTTCCCATTTCTCCATTTTTTGCCAAAATAAATCATTTACTCAACTTATCATAATTTAATGATAAGGTCGTCATCGAAATTAAATTGACCATCGCATTTTTCCGGGAAAGCATTTGATTTCTGTGAATGAAGTCAGCTGCCCAGGGCACAGCTTGAAGCAAATCACATTCATGTTCGTGACTCTGACCGTTTCTTTCATCTCTCCAGTAAACCTTAATTTGAGGCATGAAAAAGTAATTTACTTCCCATTTTGATTATACTAGATGTTACCATATTCAAATAAAAATAATGAAATAGGAAAAAAGTATATTGTTAAAATTATATTGAAAATATAAAAATGTATGCTAGGATAGGAAGTTATTATGAAATTACTTTGAAAATACCATCGTAATAACAAACCAAACAAAGCCTATAGCTTACTTTAACTTCAACTAAAAAATATTTGGTTATATACATACATATAAAAAAAATGCATATGAGAATCAAAAACATAATAAGATGAAGATGATACTGATCAACACCGTGTCCATCTTCTGTAAATCAGCGTCCTATGCCGCGGTAATTTTAGTAAATAAAATAAGCATAAGTACAAAGATTATACTACAATAACTGATTTATTAGCTAATAAAGGTTTATAAACATAATGCGGGTAAAATATTTTGATAGTTCGAAGTGAATTTCTGCTTAGAAGCTTTATGTTAGGTTGGTCTACCATAATTTTTTTTTAAAATGTGCTATTATAATCAAGTTTTTGCTCCCTCCTCCCCTACGTAATCCCAAAATTGTTTTACTTTTTGTTATGACAAATGATTAATCACAATGTATAAGAAAAATTAAAATACAATAAAATGAAATATTTACTGATGGTAACGTACATTTTTAAATTATTATAATTAAACTATTTTCTCATATATTCATTTATTCTAAATATTTTACACTCCTTAATCAATATTCCGTTTTGTCTTAGTTTTACCTGTTTTTAGAGATTTACAATTTAGAATTTAGTGGTATATGTATCAAATATTTTCCTCTCTTAATAATATCACTCAACTGTATTTTTCTCCATTTAGTCTTTCTCACATAACTTAAAGTGATTATCATCGTATTCTATTTTAGTTATTTTACATGTTAATTTATTTATTTTAGTTGTTTTGCATTTTCTACTTATAATTATGTGTTTTTTCAAAATATGACCCGTTATTTTCCCTTAATGATGGCACGGGATCATCTATGCCACTTTTCTATTACACTCTATGTTACAATTCAATAATTTGGTATAATTTTGTTGTTTCCATTAACATTTACACAATTCAAATCACTTTTGATGTTATATTTAGGACTAAGGGCTCACTTATTTTGGGTTAGGGTCTATTTATTTTAATATCCATTGATAAAAATTCACTAAAAGTGGTCAAATTTCATTAAAATTATAACATTAATACAAAAAATAAAATAGTCATATGAAAATTATCTACAATGAATATGTTTGTTTATGGTGTGTGTGTGTGTGTGTGTGTGTGTGTATTAGCACAAAATATATGGTCAATAAGAAATAAGTAGATTATTTGACAAAGAGTGTAGCAGAAAAGTGTCACGGAGAATCTAGTCCCATTAATGACACCAATTTTTTCATCATTAATTCCTTTTCAAGTTATTTAAAATGATTTCTAACTTATTATATTTTAATTTTTTTCTTACCTATTTATATATCTTATTTTCAAAAACTTCCTATTTGGAATTTAATGGTAGATGTATCTTGTCTTTTTTTTCCTCTTTAAATAATGACATTTGACCGTATTTTTCTCCATTAGTATTTCTCACATAATTTAAATTGATCCTCAATGAATTGTATTTTAGTTATTTTAATGTTTTATTCAATTATTTTAATTATTGTTTCGCATTTTTCATTTAGATTTTTTTTTTTGTGAAACTATCACCCATTTTCTCGGGATACCATTCAACTAATTTTTTCACCATTTGTTCTTTAAAGGGATTCTTAAGTTATTTATTTATTTATTTTACACATTTATTCATTTATTTTGACTTCACCCGATTTTTAAAATTTTGTATTTAGAACGTATTGGATAGATGTATAATTTTTCATCTAATAATAATATCACTCAATTATATTTTTATTCTATTTAATCTTTCTCATATACATTAATGTGATTCTCAATAGATTGTGTTCTACTTTTTACCTGTTTATTCATTTATTTTAGTTTCACTCATTTTGAAAAATTTTCTGTTTAAGAACTTAAATGGGGGTTATATTTTTTCCATTAATAATACCATCCAACCTTCTTTTTTCCTCATTTAATCCTTCTTACACTATTTTTACTAATTCTAGATTTTTTTTTTTGTAAAAGATTAATTCTCGAATTCTCGAATTATCAATTTTACTCTGTTTATTCATTATTTTAAATTCTTGCATTCTCTATTTAATTAATTCTTTTGATTTAACTCTGCCAAATTTTAACTTGAAAAAGTTTTTTCATGCCTTTTACTCTCAAAAAATACATTGATCAATGAAATCAAAGATTGAATATCTAGTAACAATGATAGTAGTGTATGCAGATTTGAAGTTTGTTGAAATTTTTTGGTTAGTTGTTAGTAATTCTTTTTTTTTTATTTGGTTATTTTAAATTTGAAATTTTTCTAAATTTATAAATCCTATGTGGCATGAATATATAACTAAGGCATCCTCTCTCTGGACTTTGCCTTAGTTTTTTTTTTATATATATATATATAATAGATGTATTCACATATTAACGTCTTTTTATCGGGATACTTCGAGACTCATTTGAACTACTTATATTTTTCTCGTCTCAAAATTATCATTTGATTCAAATTTTGTTGCAATATTTTTTTATTTTTACAAAGAAAACATTAGTTAGTACATTGGTTGAATGTATTTGAACATCAAATGATAATTCTTCAAGATTATTCTAGATTTGTATAGAAGGCATATGATAAAGAATAGCATGTAGTATCATGCAGAATATGATTATGGAGGATGAACATGATAGTAACCGACCAATTGCAGTCGGATGGGAAGCATCACAATTCACAAACAAAGTTCTGGAAGGCACCAAATGAGTATGTTCGGTTACAACATTTGTTACACTCGGTATGATATTCGATCCTCGAAAATTTAAAAATTCCTTCAAACAGTCTTATCAATTTAGGGCTTTAGGCCATGACCATTTCCTTCATTCATCCAATAATGTATGTACAGAGGTATCATTAAAAGATAACTGATCATTATTGTTGATGAATAAAAACAAAAGACTATGATTCCACATAGAAATTTGAAATTCTTCAAACTAGATTTGAAATTAATAGAGATACAGAGATATGACATGCATCTCATTAGAGTCCATATATTAAAACTAAATCGGTGTAACAAACATGAGTGTTTATTCCTTGGACGGAAAATTTACAAACTAAAGAGATAAAAGATTACAAATATATATGGTTCTCAGCGAGTAGGTTGAACACATTTTCTGTTCCCCCTAGGGAAGTCACTAGGTTCATTGACTTCATTCTGTTTTTGGTTTGAAATATGGCATTTTCACAAGAGGAATATATCGAAGGAGCCAACTGAGAGGGGTAGATGCAGCAGCAATTAAGAAACACCAGGCCCATTGCTTGGAATCTAGCCTTGCTGTACCAGCAAAGCTCTTCCAAAATTCCACCATGATGACTTGGAGGATTATAATGAATCCAATGATTCCCCAGAACCATTTCATTCTGTGCATTTCCTGGAAAATGTTCTTTCGATCATACAGCTTCGCGTTGATGAGCATGAAAACTTGGCAGAGCACATATGTATTGAAGATCAGAGTGTTCTTCTCATTTGGATTCAGTTTCAGCAATGATTTCCCTCTAAAATGGATGGCCAGAAGGACTATCACTTGATACAGTCCCTGGGCAACCATATTTCTTTTCATACTATCTGTCTTCAAAGGCTCATTTAGGTCTCTTGGTGGCTCGGACATTAGGTCATCAGAGGGTTGTCTTATACGTACAGAAAGAATTGCAACTAAGCCTAAAATGAACTTTACCCAAAGCAGTTGAAATACAGGTATGGCTACTATACCTGATGAAACATCTGCTTCTGATGAAACATCAACCACTGCATAATAAAGATTGAAACCATTGGGAAATATGGTCATCGCAGAATCAATCACCAGATCAACGAAAGTTGCAGTGAGCAAGAACTGAATGTAGGTTTGGATACTGTCATAAAATCCTCTGCCCCATTTCAAAATTTCAAGAACCAGGAGGTAATTTTTGTCCTTGATTACTATATCTGAACATGCCTTGATGATCTCCGCCCTGCCTTCGGTTGCAGGACCGAAACATATACCTACATTTGCTTCTTTAATCGCCTGTGCATCACCTAGGGCTCCTCCTACATACGCAACAACCCGTCCTTTCTCTTTTAAAGTTTGAACCATGAGGGACTTATGGGTGGGGTTCGCGGCAGCCAATACGCGAATTCCATCAACTTTCTCCAATCTCTCTTCTCTATTCCATCCCTCGAATTTCCGTCCTTCCACTACTATGTCTCCTGGTTGATTTCCGCGCTGATCAAGTAAGCCAGACCTTGAAGCTATGGATGTGGCTGTTAAAATACTGTCCCCTGTGACTAGTTTGAGATTTATTCCAGCTCGTTGGAGATCTCTTATAGCTGTTGCCATTTCAGTTCTTACAAGATTCTCAAGTCCTACTACGCCAATCAAGGTCAACTCCTGTTGGCGCGGGGAATAGAAATGCTCTTCTATTGATGTCTTTCTATGTGCAAAAGCAATGCATCTGAGGCCTTTTCTCGCCATCCTTCGAATTGTTCGTTGCAAAGTATCCCTGGTGCTTCTGTTGAAGAGAATGGTTGTTCCACCAGTACCATAGTAGTCAGAGCACATCTCCAGGATCACCTCGGGTGCTCCTTTCATATGCACATGAATTGTGTTGTCGGTTTTCTTATTGATCAACACTCCACTCGTTTTGTTGACCGGGATGAAGGGATCGATTTGGAGAACTGTGCAGCTGTTCTCAAGGCTTTTCTGATCCATTTTCAGCTCGCGAGTCGCCCAATCAAACATTGCGCGTTCTGTTGGACTCAAGGAAGTAGCAAATGTTGAACTCGAGCGAGGCTGCGTTATGTTCAGGCCTATTGCCTGGTGAAGCAACTCAATCACGCTTGGATAAAGTAAATCTGTTGGTGATTGTTCAATGTCATTCAGACCAAACCAGAACTCTTTCACCTGCAAATGAAGAAAGGACAAATCCGAAACGTTTAGTACCTTAATGGTCTCGTTATAGTTAAACCATTTTAGTACAACATGGACTATTGAAATGGGACGGACAGATGGTAAATTTAAGCAATTTCCAGTTACCTCTAAGGAATCGACCGTTAAGGTTCCAATTTTGTTGATGCATATAGTATCAACTGATGCAACTTGATGACAGAGGGAGGGCCTTTTGATCAGAACCTGTTTATGTAACAAGCTTCTCATGGAATAGGCAAGAGTTATATTGACAGCCAAAACTAAGCTTTCCAGACTTGAAGTTAACACAATAACAGCTGAAGTCCCCAGCATTCCAACTAAAGCAACTAGAAATTCAACAATATCTGCCTCTCTATCACCGTCATTGACGGCTTCCTCGTCATCAATCTCCTGCATACAGAATCGGCAAAAAAACCATACAAACATCGAAAGTGCAAAACCTTTACCCCACCTACCAATTGTCGCGGACAGTTCCTCCAACTCGCGAACATGTCTTGGCGTCATCCAAGTGGCTTGAGCCGGCTGCTGCGAGTTTTCCTCGTTATTACTCTTTTCCACAGCTGTTACAACCATCCTCGCGTAACCATCAGCAACCATATTGCCCGAGAACAAAAACGGATTTTCTACAACTCTCACGCGCTGGTTATTCCTTTGTGATCCACCTTCAGCACCAGCATTAGGTAATGTGCGCCGATTCTGATCATTGTTATTATTATTGCTTGTCAAGTCATCAAGGTGTATCGAGTGCCCATCTATGCAAAGGCCGTCCGCCGGAACTTGGTCACCAGGTTTCAAGTACACAATATCTCCAACCACCACTTCAGAGATGGGGATCTTTTGCCATTCACCGTTCCTCACAACATCCACCTGAGGGCTGTAAACTTGGTTTTTGGCTGCAGAGAAAACATAATTCTGCTTAATGGGCCAAAAATTAGTCACAGCTGAAAAGATCACCACGGTAACGATCGAAATGAGATGTGTTCCCCTTTCAGGCCAAACCCCTTTGATCCCATGTTTCTTTATGCCAAAACATATGTAAACGATGGTGTAGATGAGAAGAATGATGATCAGTGGGTCCTGGATTGCTTCCAATCCACAAATGCAAAAATCCTTGAGCAGGTTTATGGTGGCATGATTATTGAAATCATTGGACCCGAAGCGTTTTCTTCGGTCCTCAATCTCATCATCAATGGTGTCACTACAGATCCCTTTATCTTTATCAGTATGAAGGACCCTCATCACACCATCTACCCCTTTAAACTTCCTCAGCAACCTCATATTTTTCGGGCTCACTATATTCTTCACTTCTTCTGCACCCACTTCCACGTCCACAGTTGTGGGTTCATCGGCCGGCGGATTTTCTGACATGTCTGGCAACTATGAACCTGTCGGAATTATATATTAAGCAATTTCACAAATGAGAAAAAAAAAAAAAAAAGAATGCATGCACTAAAACTTTAGGAAACTCAAATGTTTATAAACAAGAATAGTAATTAGATAGATGGACCGGCCGTCCAACTCAAAATCAGTTGGCAATGACTGAAGAAAGCAATAGTAATCAGTTGTCTTGCAAACATGATGTGCGACAATTATCTCTGACAAAGAAAGGACTAAAGATTTTGATCAGCCCAAATGAAAAGTACCTTAGTGATTGAAAGTGATTGGAATTAACTTGAGATTCAAATTGAACCCCACCAAAGATCGAGGAGAAGCACTTCAAAATTCAAATCACTAGTAAAGTAGAGTAAGTAAAATGTGAAGAACAAACAACGAGGAAAGTTACTATACAGCCCGCTGTATACAAACAAGTATGACAGAGTTGAGAAAAGCTAAAAATTCATAGACTGATTACATGCCCATGTTCCAGATGTATAGAGATTTTAAGGGTATAGATGTCATTTATATTCACTGATTGAAAGGATTTAAATAAATTGACATTTTAAGCCACTGGCTTTTTTTTTATACCACCGATTCTAAGCCGGCTGGCAAGGGGTATGTGTTCCATGAAGTCTAATGTACGAACAGAATCAATGTTATGTTTATTCTTGAACGGTTCAAGCAAGCTAGCTCTTTCTAGTGGTTGCGGGAAAAAAAAAAAAAAAAACTCGCTCAAGCCTGGTGGTTCATTCATAAATTAATTTAAGTCAATTCCTTATTTGTACTTTTTTTAATTATTATATAATTAAGTAGATATGAATTATTTGATCGAAATAGAATTTCGATTTAGGTCGTAACCGCACGTATTCCGAATATTGCATATGATCTCACATGATAGTAACTTTTTTCTAAAAGAAAAAATAACAAAATAATTTGTTAATTTCTAAAGACTTTTTAGGAGAACCTTTTTAATTAGTTTGTAATTAGAAAATAATTCTTCGCAAGATCCTGTGCATCATCATCATCATCATCATCATCAGGCAGTATCTAGTTCCAAGTATCTTTGTGACGAAATTCTCGAATTATATGTTAACTTCTGCTAGATGCGATTGGTGAAGTTGATTAATCTTGTTTTTACCTACTTTTTTCACAGAAAATACATATGATTTTGTAATAGTTGAATTTGAATGGTTAATTTACCATGATAATTTGGGGCCTCCTATTTTGGACTATCAATCAACGTCATATATGCAAAGTCAAAAAAAAGTTTTTTGCTTCGCCACACAATGATAAATAACATCCCCGAATTGTTTTACCTTAATAAATGAAATGGTAAAACAATATTATTATTATTATGGTCGCCATTCGTTAACGTAATGCTGCCCGTACAATACCACTCGAAGTAGACATTGTAGTAAGGAAGTAACAATTAGCATCAATGACGTAACGACTAAGTTATAATGGAAGGACAAAAATGAAAGGAAAGGAAACCAATAGAGCGAAGAAGTAGAGGAGAGACTTTTTACACTATATTGTAAAAGATCAACTATGCCTATTCACAATAACAGAAAGTCGGTCAAAGCTTATTGCTCTAATTAAAACTGAAAAGGCTTTGCCTTGTACTTCTAGTTTTTCTAAACAGATTCGCACTTGCTTAACTCGTTTGGCCTGTCTTTGACACTTGTTGTAAACATGAAAGAACAATTTGATTGAGAGAGAAAAGAATACAATGCTATTTCTTTTTTGTATTTAAAAAAAAAGAAAGAGAAAAACAACGTAATCTCACAATTATCCGAAATAGATATTTCTTCTGTTCCAAAAAAATAGTTGTTATTGTATTTTTTAATTTTTAGTACAAATTACAAAACTCAATGTGAACTTTTTTTTTTTGAAACAGAGGTATTTGGGAGAAGGGAGTATAACATTTACACAACTACTTATTTGTTACAGTGTATAACATTTGTCCCACATCGCCATCGTAAAGAGAAGTGACTCTGTATATATAAGTGCCAGAGGTCACCCTATTCATTGCCAATTAGTCTTGAGATGAAAGCCCAAAATACTTATATATTTTGACATTATTAAACTCAAAATCCATTATATAGCTCCACATACAAATTAAACTGGATATATAGATTCAAATTCAATCTATTGGTATTGTTTTGTTTCAACTCATGCTTGCTCTCTTCATTTTTTTTCCCCATCTGCTTAAATGTATCAAAGTCACTTGACTTTCCATCTAAAAATCAATTGTCAAGGAAATAAGTGATCTAAGAAATTTATACGTTGGTCTTAGATCTTTTACAAAAGTGATGTAGTGGTATTATTATTATTATTATTATTATTATTATTATTATTATTATTATTATATATATTTGCCCCAACAGGCTCCATAAAGTTCAACGGACTGCTCAAACTCAAATGAACTCTCAAGAATTCATAATAGTTTCCTCGAATGGTTCACTTTAATTTTTTTTTTCCGTCCAGAAATACTGCTGTCATTCTACTTTCACTATGCATAGTAATTGACAGGTCAATCCAGAGCAGGTTGGTTTTGATACTATATCCAAAAGACTTGAATTCAAATCTCAAAACTAATTAACAATGCAATGAACAAAGTGATACAAGAGACTTATACAGTATAATGGACTTCGATGAGAATGTGCGATATCCAACATGAACGTGATCATGCTCAAACTTGCTCAACTCGATTACACCAGTATATGCTCCGAGGTACCGTTTGGAATTCTCTTGAAAAAAATTGCGCATCCAAATCTTTTTTTCCTAGAATTTTAGAGTAGACATCTCTTCTTTTTCCCTTACAAAATTTGGAGATGTCCTAGTTCATTCAGTTAGTATATTGCTTTGGAACAAACATATAACTCGTTGGGCAATATGAAACACCAATAAGAGAATGCAAAATTAAACTACCCATGAGAGTTCGGTGATCAAATCCTGTTTAGTACGAGTCGCCGATAAATATTATTAATCTTTAAAAAATGTATTCCCTCCATCTCATAATTATTGTCCACTTTGCCCAAAAAATTTTGTCCCAAAATTATTGTCCAATTTGACTTTTTATGGATGAAGTTACACATTTGTCCTTAGTAAAAAACATTACCCATAAAATCTTAGTGGTTAAACAATTACTTATGTAGGGGTATATCCGGTTGTTTAAGTTAAAATATAGTTAAGTTTGACCAAAAATAAAATCTTTCAATTTAGTAAAACTGGATAATAATTATGGGACGGAGGGAGTATAATAATAGAGAAATCTAATTAATTACCTAATGATTGTTTCCTTGGGGGTAGTAACTTGGCTATTTATTGCACTAAAGAAGTCAGTCAAATGCTATTAATCTATAACAAGAAATTGCTTCTGCTTACATTCATAGGTTGCAAAGTCATCATTCAGCTTAGTCAAAGTTGGTTCTAAATGAAAGGTGGGGGAACACTTTTGTGATTTAAGGTTTGTATACAATGCATCTGAATGCCAATTCTCAGAAGAGAGACCTGTATGGTCATATTTAATCATTTTTGGACAATATAACAATTTAGACTTCGTAGCTCCAACACTTTAAATTGTGTCGGACATATAAGTTCCAAATTTTACCATAAAATGCCAAATAGTACGTAAAAGATGGCTTTATTCCACACTTCATTCTTTTAAAATGTTGGAGTTTTAACTTAATTTATTTCAAAAGATTAGATCTGTTGCATTAAGTCTTGTTGAACTAATATTTCCGTTTGTGATTCTAAAGTCTAAGCTGATGAGCTTTGTTGTTTTCAAAACCGTTGTCTTAAAAGAACTTAATTTGAAGTGTCATTTTTAGGTGAAGTTAATGCTTATTAATTTAGCCAGCAAAACTAAGGTTGCATCCTTAAATTTTGTCCTATAAATACTACGTAGCAAAGCTTCATCTAGACACCAAAACAAAGAAAACATTTTTTCTCACTTTTCTAAAATCTCAAAAGTCCCTCAAGCAAGTTTTCTCTAAAGTCTTTCTTTTTTTCTTTCAATCTCACTTAAATATTGGACCTATATATTGTTAGTTCTTGTGCCCTCTAAACTTAAAAGAGAAAAGCTTGTTTTATCTTGGGGAAACATTTAGTTACTCTGAAATAATTTTTTTAAGACAGTGCAATTCTGCGCGACTCAAGTATTTTATTTATATAGCATTTTTGGAGCATTCCTCAACAATCTAAAGAAACTATTGTTCCAACTAATGTTACATTAATCCATGCTGTTATTCGTGCTACTCTAATGGTATCTAAATCGTGAGCTCATACTAAGATGAGTGATATGATTTTTTATGCAAAGGAAAATCATATAAATGGTGATCGATATGAATTTATTTTATAATGAAAAAGTGAGAACTATTGTGTTTCAAAGGTAAACACAATACAGATAAAATGTATCATTTATTAGTTGCATGCTTGTTTTTAAGTTTTATCAAGCTTTGAAGTTCATTAATTTAATTAATGAAGCATGCGAAACTAATTTCTTTAGGATTAATATTAAATTTATTAAAAAACATGTGTTATATATCATTCCTTTTGGAGTCAGTAATCTAAGGTGATTATGTATGCATTTTACTGACATCTAAAATTGCAGCAAGCCATGCTTTAAAACCTAAAATGGCCAATGTCATGTTTTGCCTTTTTTGAATATTAGGGAAAAGTTTAAACTTTGCAGAAATCAACATGGTTATTATTTATTTGGGAATATTTAGAATGGAAACAGATTTAATTTCTTGAGTATTTCTTGAGATACGTAAAATTAAATTTATATGTGTGTATTGGCTTGTAATATGAGACTAGTCATACTGCAATGCTTGCATAGTTTATTTTGTTTTAAGATTGCTTATGGATGAATTACTAAATTCATGTTAAATAAATGAGTTCCTATTCAATAAGAATAGATGATTTACAAAAGAGATAACTCATTTATTCTTGTGTACATTATTATGTATCTTACTAAAAAGAAAAAA